ACCATTTCTTAGTCTTTATATGCCAATACTATATGAAATTATTTCTCCCTGTTTCCTTTAAAATAAGAAAAATTTGGGAAAATATATGCAATGTAACTACTGCTGGACACTTAAGTCCTATAAGTAGTTAATGAAAAGAAATGCATGAATTATAGAACTATAGAGTGGTTTCAGTTGGGAGAGACCTTAAAGACCATCTAGTCCAACTCCCACTGCTACGGGGAAAAAAAAACCCAGTAAAAATTGAAATAAAACTAATGCATCAAATTAATGTGTAATATTGGTACACTCTGAAATATTACAGTATTAGACACTTGCTGGTGAGTTTCTTAACTTTACTGAGGAGTAAACAGCCATTTCACTTTACTTTCACATGTAAAATGACAAAAGTATTTACTTTCTCAGTGTCCCACAAAAACTACTTCGGTCTTGCACACCAAACACCCTCACCTTGCAGTTTACAGCTCCATAAACCTGCCACGTGTCCACCACATCCCTCTGGTCATACTGCATGCACTTGACCTTCTCAGTGATGCAGACATTGACCTGAGGTTTGCCTTTGTAGCTGCTGGATCTCCAAGCCGGCTGATCCTTCTCCGCAGGCATCTCCTGGATGTCCTCGAAGGAGCTGTTCAGGCTGCGGATGTTTGTGTTCAAGGGGGTGCCCAGGGGGCAGGCCTGGATGAGCAGATTTCGGAGCTGGCCCACCTTTGTGTTCATCTCAGCTTCGTTCTTCCGGCTGGGAGAGATGTAGTCCATGATTCCCAACAGAAGAGCCAGTCCCTGGGAGAGCCCGCTGACGGTGAGGAGGGGAGGCCGTGGCTCCAAGGGCCCCTCAACCAGCGGAAGACAAGCGTAGATCAGCCCGCTCTTCTGGAAAGCAAGGACAGGCCAGAGATCCCCTGAGTCGGTGGACACTGAATACACCGAGGAGTGGTCGATCCGAGTGCAAGTGTCCCGATGCTCCACAAAAATGTGGTCGTCCACCAGCCTCAGCTCAAACAGCAGGGCCTTCAGGAAAGCGCCGTCCGAGGGCACCGGCACGTGCGTGGACCCGTTGAAGGTCTCGGCGCGCAGCTCGACCGTGGGGTAACGCCTGGGACAAGGAAACAAGAGCCTCTGATTTATCTGTTTATTTATTTATTCACCCAAAATGTCATACCAACGGAGTTGCCAGGAGCAGAGCCCTCCAATCCCTCTTCTGGCTGTCAGAGAAAGCAAAAACGTTATAAAAATCTTTGGGTTACTGTTAAAATCAAGGATGGGTTTCTCTTCTCTTCTCCAAAACCCATCGGTCCTAAAAATAACCTTGTGTACACGGAAGCCAGAAGCAACTTGGTAGAAACACTGATGGGATCAGAATCTAAATCAATAAAAGTATTTAATGAGTAATTAGGATTCATTCTAGCCCGTGGATTTTTACTGGAAAATTTGAGCAGCTACATTCACTCATTTTTTTAAATAAAATGTGAATCTGCCCCTGCCTGTTGCACAAAGGCACGGGATGATTAATAAACACTAATGAATGACTCCCACCAGTGCAGCAAAACTTCAACACCCAAATATTTCTAAGAGGTGACATCACACTGAAAACAAGTTCTCAGATATTTAAGAAAATGGAAGTTACTTATATACAGGTTTCCCGTTGGTGTTCTGAGCTTACACAGTTGATCAACAAGATCAACTAAAAATCTTTACAATATTATAAATCCAAAAATATTTCACTGTACACATGTCCAATTTTTCCAGCAAGGCCTGTATAATTTGGGTGGACAGGGCACAAAACTGATTTCACGCTGCACATGCAACGTATGTGACTTAAAGCTTTTATGACTATTTCATTTTTTTTCAAGTATTTAAGATGTAATCGTGTCGCAGACACAAGGTACAGCATATTTTAAAACTGCTATGTTGCACCATGTTGCTTTCATTTATTCTGCTTTTTATACCATCTTTTTAAGGTCACACTGACAGTCTGTTTGTTAAATTGCCAGGGAACTTGCAACCCCAGCAATGTGGTACTTTGTTATATCTATGACCTCCATCTGTAGCACTTCCCTCCTGCTTCTGAACACTTCCATGGATCTTATCCTGTTGCTTCTAAGTCCCACCTACACCCTCTTTCCTTAACTGAGTAGCAGAGTCTCCAGCTGGAGGCAGCTACACTTCCTCAGGCTTAATTTCAGTGACTGTGCTTTTTTTCTTTGATTCCTAATCAGGCATTTAGGGCTTTTGGGTTTGGGTTTTTTTCCAGTAAGGAAAAAGCAAGCACAGGCAGGGCGAAGCCAGAGCTACAAAATCCGTAAACAGGATACAGATGACAGTAAAACACCTCCCTGCAGTCTCACATCTATTCTGGAGAGCCAAGCAACAAAGTGCTTGGCTTTTGCAGCTCAATAATTTATGAGGCCTTCCAGAGAGAGGTTGCTCATAAGAGGCTGTGTGTAACCTTGGTGAGCAGCTCTTATTTTTGGTGGACGTTTTCAAAACAAGGGAAGAGGAGATATTTCAGTCTGGTTTTGTCTTGCTCAAGTCCCAGTGCCTCTGCTCTGTGTGTCGAAGTTGCCCCCACACCTCAGCAACCTTCTCCTCCTCCCACTGAATTTTCCCAGCTGTAGCTGAGCCATTAGATGATTAATTAGCCCTTCAGATCTCCGTTTTCCAGTATTCCCTTCCGGAAAGCGAGGCAAACTTAAAAAGATGAAAGTTTCCAGGGACTTGGCGATTCAAGAGAGACACCATACTTGTTGCCTGAATTAAGTTATGATCAGCTCAGGGGAAAAAAAAAAAAAGGGAATGCTTTGATGTCCCCGATGTCTTCCCCGAGGTTAAAGATCAGGGCTCACGTATCTCCAGCTGAGCGCGTAAGTCCCGAAACCAGCAGCTTCCATGTGATCCCGCATTCTTTATATTGTCTGTGTGCTTTGTTGAATTTAAGGTCAGTTAGGAGGATAAACTTGGGGCTTCCACGGCCCTATTATTGCCTCTGGGAACTTGAAAGATCTAAGTCTGGAAATCACTTGAAGCATCAAGTATAGTTTGCCCTTTCAAAGGGCAAGGGCTCCTTGTCTCTGCCGCTCACTGTGTGACAAGTTACTTCACATATCCCTGTCACCAGCCCCCCCTTCCTCCCTGGTGATTACACTCCCTGCTTTTTTGGGACAAGGCTTTCTCTTTATCTGTGTTTGTAGAGGGGAGGCCTCATCTCTAGTCCTGTAGGTAATACAAGGACCATAATACTAATCCTAAAACAATCAGAGGAATGTCCAATGTAGAGATCTGTCTGCACCTGAAGATGGAAGATAGTCTACTTGCTCTTTTTTTATGTTGTTTTTTCTTTAGTCCTAGGTTCTCTCTCTGGTTTTACTGAATTCAGACTAGGACTGTAGCTCTCTTTATCCAGATTTTTTTTCTTAAACTTTCCCTAGCCTCAGTTATTTTTCCTCTCATTGTTTGGAACTGATTTCCTTGAAGTCACAGAGGTAAAAAGGGCAACAAATTTTGCCAGCCCAACAAAAGCAGCCTGTCTAGCCCTAAGTCTTACTTAAAACTCTGGAAGAGTTCTGAATGAAAACTCCTCCTTTGGAGGGCTCCTTAGTGGCCTCCTCCAATAACTTTAAAACCCCCTGTATTTGTATGGAAAAATCAATATCAAATGAAAAGTTAAATTTCTGACTGAAAAAAAGTCTACTTCTTGTACAGTTACAGAACAATACGAAGATAACGTAAGTAACACGTAAGCAAAAAAAAATGTTTTCTTGTTTGCCCATTTTGTTAATTTGATAGTATTCCATAACCATTGCCTCATCCTTTTCCATGTTAGGACGGAGAAGAGCTGGTTAAAATATTTACAGAGACGAACAGAAAGAGGAACAGAGCAAGCAAACTCAGGTGCAAAATGCAGAAGTTGTACAAAAACCAAACCCAGATATAGTCAAAAGCACATGATCTGAAGCCAGACACTTTCGAAATCGGGGTCAGAAGCGAACAGTATCCAGCGGCGCTGGGATGAGCCAGGGGACTTATTTATTCAGCATCATAATGTTTTGGTGTTTCTGCATCCGTTTGTGGTCCCGAGGATGCTCTGAACACTCCGGAGCCTCCGCGGTGAACCAGGGGAGTTTCCCCTGGACTTCCCCCGGCACCGAGGGGAGGAGCGGCCGAAACACGGACTCCCCAAAGCACCGGGACACCCCAGAGCACCCCAGACCTCCCCAAAGAACACTCGGACCCCCAAGCACATTCTGATTCCCAGAACATCTGGACCCTCAGAGCACCCGCTCACCCAAAAACGTCCGATCCCCCCAGAGCACCGGGAGCACCAAGAACACTCGGACTCCCCTCAGAGCACCCACTCCCCCCAGAGCATCGGGTCCCTCTGGGCATCCAGACCCCGCCAAGAACACCCGCACCCCCTGAGGGCACCCGGACCCCCCCGGAAGATTCTGATTCCAAAGCACCCAGAACCCCCCCGAGCACCCGCTTCCCCAGAGCATCCCCCAGGGCACCCATACCCCGCCAGAACACCCACCCGCACCCTCTGAGGGCACCCGTTCACCCCAGAGCACCCTCTCCCCCCCCAAGAACACCCGAACCCCCCCAGGGCGCCCAGCCCGACCCGCGGACCTGCCCAGCCCGCCGTGCCCGAGCCCTCCTCCCTCCGCCCCGCCGCCGCTACCTGGAGAAGAGCACGGCTCCGCCGGCCGCGGGGTCGTGCCTGAGGAGCCACAGCGCCCGCAGGGCCATGGCGGTGACGCCGATGGTGCCGGTGATGCCGATGGTGCCGGTGATGCCGATGCCGGCGGCGATGCCGATGCCGGCGGCGATGCCGATGGTGCCGGTGATGCCGATGGTGCCGGTGATGCCGATGCCGGCGATGATGCCGACGGTGCCGATGGCGGCCGGGGAGGAGCCGCGGCCGGGCCGTGCCCGCCCGGCGCAGCCCCATTTCCGGCGGGCGGAGGCGGCGCCGCGGCCGCCGCTGCTGCTGCCGGGGCGGGGGACACAATGGGCGGCCGCGGCGGGGCGGCGGCGGCGGCCGAGGGGCGCTGAGGGGCCGCCGCCCTCCCTGCTTCCCTGCCTCCCTTCCCCGCGGCCATGGCCACCACGGCCGAGCTCTTCGAGGTGGGTGCGGGCGGCTCCGGGGCTGGGAGGCGGCGGCCGGGCTGGGCCGGCTCGCTGTGAGGGGATGCGGCGGCCTCTCCCCGCGGGGCGTGCGGGGGCACCTGAGGGAGCGGGGGGTGGGTGTGTGGGGCTGAGGGAGCGCGGGGCGCCCGGGCCCTGCCGGGGGGCTGCGGTTCCCTCCTTCGCTCCCTCGTTCCCTGCCCGGGCTGCCCGGGGTGACAGGCCATGCCAGGCCCGGCCCCGCGCTCCCTCTGCCTCCCTCTGCCAAAGGAACACGCTCCTCTGATCCCGGCGCTGGGGTGTCTCAGTGCGGCTCCTGCTGCAAGGAAATAAGGAAATGACTTTGCCCTCCCTCTGTGGAACCGAGGAACGGAAAAGGGAATTGCTCACCCAAGGCCACGCAGGAGCGGGAATGGCAGGAGTCTGTCAGATCCTTCTCGTGGAACCACAGAATGTCCTGAGCTGGAATGGACCTACAAGGATCATCTCCCTCCTGAAGGGAGTCCACTGGAAAGGTCTAGAGGGACTTTTGGCAAGAGCATGGATGGCAGGACGAGGGGGAATGGATTCAAACTGATAGACAGCAGGGTTAGATGGGATATTGGGAAGGAATTCTTGGCTGGGAGGGTGGGGAGGCCCTGGCACAGGTTGTCCAGAGAAACTGTGCCTGCCCCATCCCTGGAAGTGTCCCAGGCCAGGTTGGACAGGGCTTGGAGCAACCTGGGATAGTGGAAGGTGTCCCTGCCTGTGGCGGGGGGTGGAATGAGATGATCTTGAAGGTCCCTTCCAACCCAAACCATTCTGGGTGTCTGTGACTCCAACTCCTGGCCTGGACCATGAGCTCTCATGATGTGACCTGTGATAAACAAAAAGTTTGTCCCCTCCCTTCGTGTGTGGGGATGTGGTGTCATCACCAGGTGTCCTGTGTTTGCTCTCCAGGTCTCTCATGAGCCAGTTGTTCATTTGATGGGCTATCACTGGGACATGCTTTGCCCAGCCTGCAGGGAAGGTCTTCCTGTTTCTCTGGAAGATCCTATATCTGTGGTTTATGATAAATGCATTGTGTGCACTTGAATTTATGAATCACAGTTATGGCACAGAAGTGTTATGACACATCATTTGGCTTGCGTGGTTTTAAAAAAATAGCAGGACTGAAATGCTGTGTTCCAAGTAGCTGGATGCCAGGTTTTGTGCCCTCTCTGTATCTCTCTAGGAGCCCGTTTATTTCTCAACATAATGACAATGCAGTTCTGTTCTTTGTGGGATGTTGGATGTGGGGTAACTTGGATACAGAAAGTAAACTCTTATGTTTTAGCTGCTTTGGGCCATGCAACAATTTGCTCCATTTTGCAATGAAATTTCAAATTAGGTGAGAATTTTGCCTAGAGACTGGGCTTGAAATTATGTTTTCCAACATGAAATCCAGTGTTTCTGTCTCTCCTGCTTTCACTACTCTTTCAGCAAGAGAGGTTTTGTTGGCGTTCACTAATTTCATGTTTGAAGTTGCTTCCTTATACATCAGAACATGAAAATGTGCTTGTTATGGGAGTAACCCTTTACCTGTGTGCTGAGGGTGGAATTTGATTACCATATTTTCATGACTGTGTGTTCTGAAGTCATTTTCATTCTGGATACGTGACACTGCGTAGCAGGATCTGTGCTGAAAATGGACACAATGTGGACTCCGTTCTCCCTCGCATCACTTAAAGCATAAGTTAACAATTATTACTTCTAAAGTGGTTTTTAATTTGGCTGGATCCAGTATAGTTTCATTTATAAAGACCAGATCAAACCAGGTTATCATCCATTTGAGGCCTATCTCTTATTAAATCAGGAGTATTGGCTGAGTGGAGGGGATCACGCTAATTCATCTGGAGCCAGAGGGAAGTTCAAAGCTGGGAAGAAATTGACTGTTGGGGCTCATCTGATAACAGGCAAAGGACTTGCAAATGACATTTGTAATAGCTGATTTTCAGCCATTTCTGCAGGACAGGATAGGAGACTTAAAATAGGAATTAGGCTGTCTGCTGTGGGTTAACCCTGTTATCAAGATAACATTTTAAAAAAGCAAATGGATGTGGAAGATACGATATACAAACTGATCTGAAAAGTTTTGGATCTGCAGTGGAATCTGGGAAATCGTGTCTTAGAAAGACACTGTTGAACTTCATTTATTCTTTATAAATCAAGTAGATTATTTTTAGCACAGCCTTTGTGGAAATTTGGAAGAAAAAGCTCTTTTTTTTTTTTTTTCTCTGTTGATCAATATGCTTCATATAATATCCACTGCAATTACTGTTCCTTAAATAATACAGAACATGATTTATATGATATAAATGTGATATATTTATATGAATAAAGAACTGAAGGACAGCTGTCCCATGCAAGTGTTCTTGAAAAACAGGTATTTTCCAGGTTATGCCCCTTTGAAATATTACACCTGCATATGGGGTCAGCCACAGTGTTTTTGGGATGCAAGGGAGGGAGCTGCAGGAAAGATTGTGATTTTCATGTAAAGGAGAAGTGCTGCAAAGAGCCCTAAGGTAATTGGGAAGCTGGAGGACTCCCCTGAAGGGAATGTTACGGTATCAGATGTCTCAGTTCACCTATAATTAAACTTGCAAAAATGCTCCCAAACTTTTAGATGTAAAGGTGGAATAAAGAGAGAATTTATACTGGTATGAAAGCATGGCATTTTGATTTTTGGTGAAGAGGATTCGGGTAAAGGAAGCTTCGTGTTTTGTATAAGGAGGAACTTGGTTAAAGAGATGAGTGACTTGTAGGGAAATTGTTTTTATGCAGCATCAAGCAGTTATTTTTGCAGTTTAACCAGTAAAACACAGTTATTCGAGTCAGTCTGTGCATGAGGAGTTACTGGGTGATCTGTTGAAAGGGTGAAATTTCTGCCCCATCCAGCAGGATTCAGTATATTGCAAAGTATATTTAAAAAACTTTAATCTTTCTCTTTAATGGCTGGGCCTGCCTGGATGGGGCATAATTTGTTTCTGAGAAAACAGACCTTGAACTGGCAATATGTGCTTTTTAACCCTTGGTTTTAGCTATTAAACTAACTCTATAATGCTGGGTTTTTTTCCCTCCCTATTACTTGTGACAAAGTTTCAGACATATTGATACCATAACCAATTTTATACCTGTTTATTTTTTATTATTTTCATTTTTTAAGACCAGGTTTTATCAAAAGCATGGTCACACGTCGTCATCATCATCAGAAATGGCAAATACCATCAGTTGTGGCAAATACCTCTAATAACCAGAGCCACTCCCAGCTCTGTTTTGGGTTGTTTCACACTTTCAAAACTGTTGCTGTGTGTAATTTAAAAGGTTTCTATGAAATCCTGATGGTTGTGGGAATAACTTACTTGCTGATTTTAGATGTGCTGAGCTTAGCACCTACTCAACGCTGCTAAATTACCGGTGAAGCTGAAGTGATAAATGCTGGTTTTTTAAGGATAAATGTTGGACTGTGTTTAGAGTAATTTAGTATTAACCATGTGATGAAATGTTTGAGCTGGTGTAAGTATTGTGCCAGCCAAAACAGGAGATGTTGGTTTTATAAATGAGGTTTCTGCCTTCAGGAAACATCGCTGAGTGGAGAAATAATCTTAACTCTTCAGCCTGGAGCGGTATTTTAAGGGAAGAACTAGCAAATATGGAAGAAACTTGCATAACCTTGAGCTTTTAGCATCCCTCATACCCTGTTTTTCCTTCTTGGGAAGGTCAAGTCCCTCATGTGTTTGTATGATTTGTTTTTCCCTTTTTATCTGCTTCGTTCCTGCAGCTGCAGTTTGATGTTGCACAATGTCCGGTGGCATCTGGTGCTGGTTTTGCCACGGGGCAGCGCCTTGGCCAGCTCTGGGTGTGATGCCATGTTGTGACCTGCACCAGAGGGTTGAACCACTGTTAAAAAAAAAAAAAGAAAACAACCCTCATTTTTCCACATAATTTCTTCAGACAGATGAATTCTCCTGTCTGTTGTGCTGTGCAGCTGATGGCTGGTGATGTAACATCCCAAACCAGCGGAGCTGCTGCACGGGGCGGACGCTCTGTCAGGACAAGGCACAGGCTCAGCTGGAAATAAGGTCGTTTAGAGCCAACTCACAGACCTGCAGCAAATCCTAAAATCTAGACTAGATGTTCAAAGTCACCATATTAAGAGCAGCGTTCCTCAAATTAAATATGTAAAGCTAAGAGGTGATGGGGTAATTGTCAGCACTGTGCTTCCTCTTGATTGTAATAAGGCTTTTAAACACTTTCAAAATGATGTGTGAGCAGCTGCTTAAGGAAGAACCTGCTGTGGCACATTGTAAGGAGGTTTTTATTCTGTGGCCAGGAGCCTTTTGTGGCAGATGAATACATTGAACGCCTGGCATGGAGAACACCTGGAGGAGGTTCCAGAGGTGGAGAAGCTTTTGATCCGAAAAGGTAAAACCAAACTGCATAATGGTCAAAGTGAATGTGTCTCTGATTGTACTGTTTCATTCCACATGTAACAAAAAACCTGTATGTGGTGTTGCTGTGTGTCCAAGGAGGTTTTCATCTGGGAGAATTGCTAAAATTTGTGACCATGAGTTAATTATTCAGAACTAATTACTCAGTGACAAGAATAGGGAAAGTCACTTTCCGATTAAGACCTTTTAAATGAAGGAAATTTGGTGTTGTTTGTCCTTGTCAGACACAAATGTTCCAAAGCACTGGAGTTGCTGGATTAAAGCATAACATGAGGCTTCACTGCTGTGATAGTTAATTTAATGAGTTTCTTACTTCAGCTCCCTGAGCTGCCTTGTCTTAAGACCCCATGGTTGGCAATCCTGGTGCAAACAAACAGCACAAACAGGTAGGGTGGGAAGAAAGGCAGCTCTAGGGATGTGATCCCATGATATAAGCTATTCTGACTTCTGGATCTACCTGGATCTTCTTTTGCTTGAAAGAGTACCTTTCAAATAGTGCTACTTTTTAGCTTTTGTACCAGTATTGGTGATATTTTTAGAGACACGACTAACTTAAGTGTTCTCATTTTCCACATGCTTATAACTTGAGAGATCAGCAACTGCAGTAGCTGTGCCTTGGGGACTTCTCATCCACGTGATCCTATTCCAGATTGAGATGGTTTGCAGTAACCTGAGCTACAGAAATTTAGGAATAGCCAACTTCATAGACCAGCTGTTGCTGTTCAAAAGCAAATAGAAAACACTTTATTAGCATGGCCAAAGACATTCCTCCTGGAGCAGTCTGGCTCTCTGGAGGCACACAAGAAGAGGAAGGATATTGTTGGATTTCTAGCAAGGTGCTGAACCCTCGACATTCAGTCTGGGGCCTGTATCCTGTGCAGAGCTTTACATGTGATTTAAGCAGGAAGAAGCCTGGAAAGACACAACATTGCTTCCTGGAGCTCTTTCTCCACACTTTTTCCTAGGATCTACTTTAGGGTAGTGGATAATTTGTAGCAGTACCTCTACATTTCTGCTGGTTTGCCTGTGTTAACTTCTGTGATACACCTTCATGTTTTTCAGGACAAGTAGGAGAATTCTGCAGCAGTTAATATTTTTCTTGTGGCATGTTCTAGTATTGGGAAGGGAGCCAAAATTAATATAAAAAAACCCAGATCTTTTGGTATATGTTTTTTGTTCTGTTTTTAGAAGATGCTGCTTTTGTTTGGTTGTGTGTTGCAGTCTTTATTTATATTTTGAGAAACCTGACCAGCAGCTGCCTCTTCTGCTTCAGCATTCCTTCCTCTCTCACTATATCGAGTACTGTGGCTGAATAAGTGCTGAGTTGGCACAATATCTGCTTAAAAAACAAACCCCAGGTTGAATCAGTTTGTTAACATTAATAGAAACTCTCTGCACTTCCCTAGGGTTTTGTTTGAAAGTGTGCTGTGTGTCACTATCGTTCAGATTTTATTTTAAATATATTTCTGTAAACTTGGACCTGTTCCTTGTGGTTTTCTGTGGAATCTAATGCAATGTGCTTCCTCTTGGGCTTCTGGCAAGCAGGGAAGGAGTCTGTGAGGGTGGAATAATCCATTCTACTTTTTCTTTCTGGTTACTGCGAGTCTGTAGCCTGGACTTGGCAAGCCAGGAGAGGAGCAGCGGGCTCATTCTGCCTTGCAGCAGCACCACAGGTTGGAGGGCTTCACATCCACCTTCTGAGCAGAGTGTTTGTGAAAATGCAGGTTCCTGAGTAGTCCAGAAATAGCTCCCTGAGGACTTCCCATTTCCTCTCCTCTTCTGCTTGGACATTAAACCTGGACAGCGGAGTTCTCTAATGGTTCAGATGTTTTCAGTTACTGAGTTTCATGGCTCTGGAGGATCTGGGAATAAACATTCCCTGAGCATCAGTGACTGGGATGGTTGGAAAAGTAGAAGTGAAAAGATGACAGGAAGGGGACAGAATGGGCAAGAACAGGAGTGAGAAAGAGAGAGACATTAAGAATGGAGTGAAAATAATAGTGGGAATTTAAGAATGCATTGAGGTGTACTGCGATTGGGGAGAGTAAACTGTGAGTCTGAAAGAAAAATGAAAGTGATGGGAAAGGGCAGAAAAAGCCTTAAAATGGGTATAGGAAGAAGTGAAATCAATCAAACCAACATTATTAAACTGTGTATTAATTGCCTATTAATAGGATGCTGATTTACAACTTTACAGTAACATGTACAGTAGAAAATATCTTCCCTTTGTAGCCCTTCCATTGAAGGGATTTAGTGGCCTGAGCTCTTTTTGTCCTTATGAGAATTATTAAGGGAAGATGGGGATAGAAGGATTTTGAGCCATGTTCTTGAGTGATTGGAATTTAGTTATCCCCCTACATTCCCTTGGCCTACCATACACGGTTTTTATGTAGGCATTGAGTGCTGTACAGCCAGGGGGATAGACTTTAAAACAAAAGAGCCTTTCTAAGTTGTGGTTATATCAGCCTTGTTGGCAAGTTCTTTCCTTCAAGGTGTTTTAAACTCTCTGCAGAAGACGGTGTGTTTCAAACTAAAGTGTGTTTTCCTGTATTTTGTTCTAAATCAGATTATTGGAAGAATTCGTAAATCATATCCAAGAATTACAGGTAATGGATGAAAGGATTCAGAGGAAGGTGGAGAAACTAGAACAGCAATGCCAGAAGGAAGCAAAGGAATTTGCCAAGAAAGTGCAAGAGCTGCAGAAAAGCAACCAGGTAAAGTCTGAAGAGTAGAGTCAGTGCAAAGCTGTGCAAGTTTTAAAAGCATCGTGTGCTCCTTCAACGTTTCTTGGTACATTGTGCTACTCTTTGAGATAAGAGTAAAGAGGCTCTGATGGAAAACAATTTCTCCTGTCAAGGGGGACTTATCTGCATGTTCCATTAATGTGTGTTAGCGATGGTGAAAGTAGTGAATCTTCACAGCAGTTTAAAGGAAGACACTCAACTCTAATGGGATGTGTGTAATTCATTAGTGGTTTGAGTAGGCCTGTGGTTCTGAGACACAGCACCTGCTTTCACAGTGCCTGTTACTGGAGTAAATCTAGTGTTTCCTGGAGTACATTAAATGGAAATCATGGGTTTAGTGTCCATGTCTCTGTTCTCCCAGGTTGCCTTCCAACATTTCCAAGAGCTGGATGAGCACATCAGCTATGTAGCAACCAAGGTCTGTCACCTTGGCGACCAACTGGAGGGGGTAAACACGCCACGGCAACGGGCTGTGGAGGCTCAGAAGCTGATGAAATACTTTAATGAGTTTCTGGATGGAGAGCTGAAGTCTGATGTTTTTACAAACTCTGAAAAGGTAAGAGCTGTCAGCGGGATGAAAGCAGTTCAAAGCAACGAGCGGTGCTGCCCTAATTACAAGCTGCTACCATGACTTACCATGGTCAGACTTCAAACCACTGGGTGACTGACTTGTTAAAGTGGCATTGTTCTGAAATGTAAATGAACAACACTGGGCTGCAGATTGCTGATAAAGCATTTGTATTCAGCGATGCTTAAGGTGGCAATGTTGGCATTTCTCATTTTATGAAATTATCGGAGATTTGAGGAACGCTGGGAGGGCAACTTTGGAGTCCACACAATATCTGCCTTTTCCCTTTGAACCCCTTGCCTCAGTTCCATCCTGTAATGCAGAACAGTTCTGAATGCAACTTCTTTGTGAAACTTTGCTCTGTTGGGTCAGTCCACTGGCCTTGGATACCTTTTTGTCACAGCATGCCTTGGGGCTTTGTATAGTCCTGTGGTTATGTCTCCACCCTTGGAATTTAGAGGAACCAGGCAGGAAAACTTCAAAGAACTGTTAAAGCATTTTGTTTTTCTTATGCTTCAAGAGTGTGTCCATGAAGCAAATACAAGCTGAATGGTGTGGCAAATAGAAATAAACTGAAGGAAAAGAATCCAGCTGTAGACAAAAGAGCACTAAGTTTCCCTATGCAGATTAAGTAGAGTTGGCTTGGTGGAGTTTTCTTTAGAGTTGGTGGCTTTTGAGTTTTTTAGGTGTGTCCTGAAGAATCTTCCCTCTCTCCTTAAATTCTGTGCAGTGGTAGGATTGTAGTCAGGAAAAAATTATAATAATGTGGGAACAGCAAAAACTTGGTTTGCACATTCAGCAAAGAAATATGTGATTGAAATGCAGCTCATAGAAGACCTGAGAACAGGTTAATAGTCACCCCCTCTCTACTGAGCTGGAGGTATCTCAGGGAAATGAAAAACTCATCATTTCATGCAGTTGTATTCCCTGACTTTCAGTTCATGGGCTGTGGATAGATGGTAATTACCAGTTGATAGTTTGCCCTAATTCAAGAGGGAGCACAGGAGAAACTTCCTTGACTTCCAAAGGAAACAGAGAGGTTTCAACATAATGAAAGTTCTTCTCTGACCAGCCTTTTCCAGATCTAGGTAAAGTTTTCTGTTTTTTTTTCCTATGTAATAATAAAACATGTATTTTAAAGAGATCTAATGACAGTGTGGCAAATAAAAAAGCATAAGTTAGAGAATTATGTGTTGTCTGCTCAAGAGTCTCATAGAATTCAGCTTTCATTTTATTTGTAAATTAGAGTTTCATAATCCACCCTGTTGGAGGATCAGAAAAATCAGGTTTATAAATAGGGTAAAGCTGGAAATTTGTAAACAAATGGATCTTTATACATCCCCGAAGAATAACAAGATATTCAGCAAATCTGGAGGAAGACAAATATAGTAAAGGCTGTAAGTCTTGTGCCAGTCTGTAGGGGAAGTGTGTGGGAACACAAACAAGAAATTCTGGATACAAGTTAGCTTACTGAGGTAATTTCAGTCAAGTGGATTCTGTAACTTTTTGCCTCCTACTTTAATAATAAAGTAGTGTTTATAAAAGAACCTGCCTGGGCATGTGCTGTTAACACCTTAATGCATCTCTGAACTAAAAATAGCTCTAAAGTGTGAGATAGTAACAAATATTCTTAAATGTAAAACCTTAGTGCCTTGTCAGTGTCTTCTGATCTTTGAACTGATGTGGCTTTTAGGTGGTGTTTTGGAGGATGTTAAGATTTTTTTGTGCTGTGCCAGCCCTCGCAAATGTGGATTTTTCTTTGAGGCATTAAGAGGAAGAGATACTGTGAAAGGAGAGGCACAAAATGAATTATAATGCAGTTATTTCCTAATTAATATTTTTCTCACTAGTGTCAGTTCTTAAAGTCCATTGGATTCCTTTTTTTCCCCCCTACACTCAATTTGTTGCTTCCCATATTGCTTTCTCTTGGTCTAACTTCTACCTTGTCACCTCTGTGAAGGTTTTCCCTCCTGTATTGTCCCATCCTATGTATTATGTCTTCATCCTCTGGATCCTTACAATTTTCCATGTGGTACCAGCTGACCAATGTTTCTCCTGTGCTGAAGAGTCTTGAAGTGAGCAAATCACTCCAGTTAATGCAATTAAACTATCAAAATGATCTAGCAGCTCATTTGTTTATTGTGCAATAACATTGTCCTGCTTAATGTGTTTACTGTTATTCTTATATGTCCCTTTCTCTTCTTATGTTCTGTACTCAACATTATTCCATTATACATTTTCAGTTGTGCATAAAAATGTGCCATGTTAAAATTCTCTTGTTTCTCCATGATTTCCAGGGTGATTTTTTGCCAGATATGTTCCAATGGTATTTTATAGAATCTATATTTATTTTGTTTTTAATAGTTTACAGAAGCCTGATTCAATTAAAAATTGAGTATGTCCGGGTTTAAGCAGAAACCACAGAAGATTGATTTGTCATGGCTTCTGTTGTGCTTAAGAAAAGGCCCCGAATTCAATAAAATATAAGTTTGTTAACAGCTGTTGTGTGAAGAGGAGACAAAGAAAATGTTGTGTCTGTGGGTTTGTTTTTTTTTTTTTTGTTTGAGTGTTTTGGTTTCTGTTTTTTTTTATTTTATAGCATTGGTGAATAACTGCTGATATATAGACTATTTACTGACATCGGTATTGATCACAACTGTTGGGTATTAGGGTTGCTGTAAGCCAATAGAAATAACTGCTCTTTCATTGGATTTATTTGAGGAGCGTGGCTGCTTTTGACTTAAGAGGCTATTGTGAGCTGACAGTTCAAAACATAAGCTGCTCTTAATAATCAGAGTGGATATACTTTGAGTGCCCCTATTTTTGCTGAACAACCAACCTCGTGTGATGCCTGTGCTCTCCATTCTTACCTGTGTGTCTGGTTCTATTCTTGCAAAGTTTTAATCCAGCCCGCTCTGAGTGCTGGGAGAATAGGATTTGGTTGCTTCCTTTCCTCTCACTTCAGCTCCCTGGATCATCACTAACAGGAGGAACAAGATAAACTGCATATTCTCCATGTTCTCCATTGTGTCAGCTTATAAAGGTTTTAATCGTAGAATAATTCAGGCTGCAAAAGCCCTCTAAGATCCTCAAGTCCAACCATTCCCCCAGCACTGCCAAGCCCACCACTAACCCACGTCCCCAAGTGCCACATCCTCATGGCTTTTAAATCCCTCCAGGGATGGGGACTCCACCACTGCCCTGGGCAGCTGTGCCAGTGCTTGACAACCCTTTCTGTGAAGAAATGTTTCCTGATATCCAATCGAAACCTCCTCTGGCACAACCTGAGGCCATTTCCTCTCATCCTGTCCCTTGTTCCCAGGGAGCAGAGCCCGACCCCCACCTGGCTCCGCTCTCCTGTCAGGGAGTTGGAGAGACCAAGAGGGTCCCCCCTGAGCCTCCTTTTCTCCAGGCTGAGCCCCCCCCGGCTCCCTCAGCTTCTCCTCATTGCACTTGTGCCCCAGACCCTTCCCCAGCTCCACTGCCTTCTCTGGACACACTCCAGCCCCTCAATGTCTTGTCATGAGGGACCCAAAACTGACCCCAGAATTCCAGGTGAGGCCTCACCAGTGCCCAGCACAGGGGGACAGTCACTACCCTGGTCCTGCTGCCTCGCTGTTGCTGATCCAGGCCAGGTGCCATTGCCCTCCCGGGCACACTCTGGCTCACGTTCAGCCACTGTCAGTCAGTACCCCCAATACACAGACCTTTATTCACCAGCCCCTTTGAGGAGCCTTCTAATCCCCAGGACAGGTCAGTAAAGCCTGTAAAACCATCCCAGAGCTGTGTCCGGTTTGGCCCAGCCAACACTGTGCTTAAATCCACTGAGGTTCAGCTGCAACCAGCTGCGTTCCCCACATTTTCAGATTGGTGTTTTCTGTCATTTTATTCAGGCCAATGGAGCTGAAGTCACTAAGCACTACTTAGATTGCACTTCCCATGCTGATCCATGGTGGAAGAATAAATGATAAAAGGTTTTGCTACCAAGGGCAGAGCACAAATTTGCATGCTGTGTTATCTTTATTTGTTAACCTTTGTGTTTATACAGCTATTCTTAATTTGTAGCTATGTAATTAACTGACTTTCATCTTGGTTTTTGCTTTGGACCTCAGAGTTTATAATTTCTAATGCAGCTTCTGTTTCTCCTTCCTTGGGAGAATGCTCTGCTTTGATCCCCTTTTTCCCCTTCCTCCTCTCTGAGTGTTGAGCAAGGTCATGGCTTTTTTAGATACAGCCAATTTCATCAGTTTTAAAGCATTTCCCAGTGCTTTCCCTGACAGGGTTGACGAGCCATTTCCCTTCTGAGTTCAACAGAGGTCTCTTCTGGTTGGGTGTGAGTCAGTAAGACTTTCATCCCAATTACTGTTGAAGTTTGATGTCACAGCTCTGTGTTACAGTTATATATTTTATTCCCAAATGGAAGGGTACAGATTTCCATGAGACTGCTCTACCCAGGTGTGATCTAATCAGCCCTGAGGAATCTTTTGGTCTTCAAGCTCTGTTGGCCTAGTGGAGTGAAGGGATGTTTGTCCAGGTAGCTCACACACCCCTACAGACCTGCCCAGTGGGAACATGCAGCAAGACTTTTCACCATGTTTTGACCTATATAACTTTGTGTTAAAGAAAAATACCTTAAGCATCTTAAAAGTACATACAGGAGCTTGAAGGGGTTGATCTCTTCCATGGGTATGTCAACTCAACCAGCTTTAGAAATAGGAACTATGGGTATGAAATTGGACGGGGGTGGGTAGGAAAGGAATAGCCCACAATCAGACCTTCTTTAATAATTCTGTCATGTTTTCCTCTCAACAGATTAAAGAGGCAGCTGATATTATTCAGAAACTGCATTTGATTGCACAGGAACTGCCTTTTGACAGGTAAAAATCTATCTGCACATCTTTTTAAGAAACTAAATCTTCACATAGCTGTAGTTTCCTGATGCTTCCCTTGTCTCCCCTTTGGTGCTGTGCTTAGTGATTCATGCAGCTGCTGAGCTGGATTGTGTGCTTATTTCCCTCTCCTCTATTCTCAAATTTGTGTTCACATGCTCATGTTGTAGGATCATCTTTACATACACATCCTAAACTGCTTAACAGACTTTTAATGGGATAATTTTGCTTTGCTGACTTAATGCTAGATTTGAATTAGGTGCTTGTAGGTTTTTAGGGGTATAAAGCGGGGAACTTTTCTGTCGTCTTTGTGTTACATGTTTTCATTTTTAAGTAGAGTGCCTCTTATTCATGTTCTGGGATGCCTGTATTCCTCTTGTGATGTGGATTTGAATTTAATCATGCTATTTTTTTTGTTGTTAACAGGTTTTCTGAAGTAAAATCGAAGATAGCAAGTAAGTTATCTATGCAGTTCAATCCATATTCCTATATTTGAATTGTTAAAGATGATTAGAGAAGTAAGCAATACTGTCAGTATTACAGTTTTTGTCAGTGCCTGATGGATTTTTGTTGTTATCCCCTTTTCTCTCCAGGTAAGTACCACGATTTAGAGTGCCAGTTAATTCAAGAGTTTACCAGTGCACAGCGGAGAGGAGAAATCTCCAGGATGAGAGAAGTAGCAGCAGTTTTGCTTCATTTTAAGGTAAAAACTGAGGGGTTTAATTTGAGTACATGAATAAAACAACCCGTGGTACAACAAGTGCCTGTTTCAAGTGAACATCTTGCATGGGAACAACCACCATCTCAGATGACATGTAGAACTTCAAAAATACCCAGATGTTCCATCTGAAATCAGATGAAAGAGAATAAAGGGGGGCAAATGATGGGGGATTGGAGGCAACATCAGTGGAGAACGTTCTAAGCTAATCTCTTCCTGCATGTTTGTGAACTTTTATGTTTGAGAAAGAATGCTGAAACTTGTTTATATTCCTGTAGACTGGTGGTCAGTGAAGGTATGTTAGATCTGTGACAAAAATGAGTTTGGAAAAGTCTACACTTTGAATGAATCTCAATTTTTTTGCAATAACTTTCACAGGTGTTTTATTTCCTTGATTTCATTCTGCAGTGCTTTAACACTGAGTTGTTTTTCTCCTTCCACAGGGCTATTCCCACTGTGTTGATGTGTACATAAAACAGTGTCAAGAGGTAATGGAGTTTGTTTTACGTGTATCTCTTTGGGTGCTGATTTATTTAGTCCTGTAGGTGGTTGTAAATCTATTGTGAAATGTGCTTTTAAATCCCTAGGGAGCATTCCTGAGGAATGATGTCTTTGAAGATGCAGCCATTCTCTGCCAGAGAGTGAATAAGCAAGTTGGAGAAATCTTTAGCAATCCAGAGACTGTGCTAGCCAAACTCATTCAAAATATCTTTGAAGTTAAACTTCAGGTATTTCACATTCTAACACGTTGAAGTTCATCGAGGAAACTTTTAATAAAAAAATATTTCATCCAGTAACAGCAACTAATGAGAATTTACAATATTTGTAACCTTGTAGAATCATATTCATTGCTCTGTAACAACTCAGACAGATAATCAAGCCTATATTAAATAAAGCTGCTTGTGCTCTGGATACAGGGTGACTGAAAATACTCAAATTCGATATGTAAAATTATTAGGGAATATTGTTGGGTAATTCATGAGATGTCATATGTGTATTTGATTTCTTCTCTATGCCCCCTACCAAGAATATGTCAGGAAAAGAAGTTTAATAAGCATCTTTAATTTGTTCATTCTTGGGATTGGATGTCATGTGTGTTCACTGAATAAGTGAAAATAACTTATGTTGTGAATACTGTCTTGCAGCTAATGCAATATTTATATGAAAATCTAGAATAATTGAAAATGTTAAGTTTTCCATCCTGGAAATACACTCACTTAAGTGCTTAAAGTCAACAACATGACATCCCTTGCAAAAAGCAATTTCCCTGTAGACGACTTTCTTACGGTGCAGAGATCGAGCTTGTGTTTCAGCCCCAATTTTCTGTGTCAGTTTGGACTTAGTATGTTATGGTAAATAAGACTTTTGTCCAAATAGTCAATGACAAGAAGACTCTAAGATTGTGTCTGCTTTGTGTCTGTATTATGATAAGCAAATATAGAACCATCTCCTTTGCTTACTGTCAGCTGCAGAGATGCCCTGAGGCCTCTGGTGCTTTTGATTCTTAAAACGAGGGGATTTGGTGTTAGTTGGTGAAGCATATTTTCAAAGCCATCTGCCTTTTGTCTTTGCTTCACACATTACTGCCTTTATTATTAAATACTTTTCTTCTAAAAGATGCATTTAACTTTCTCTGTAGATAATGCTGGATGTGTAAATTAGAGATTTAAAAACAAAGGATAGGTGAATTACCTAAAGTAAGACATAAATTTTGCAGGAAATTATATATAATCTATGAAGAAGTGGTTAATGATCTAAGAACCTGTGGTTGTCAGTTGATCTTCTAACAGATGTACCAAATTCCACAGGGTTATGTAAAGGACCAGCTAGAAGAACACAGGAAATCAGATGCAGAACAGTATCTAAAGAATCTCTATGATCTATATACAAGGTATTTATATATCCATGATGAAATTATTGTCGTAGATATTCTCTTGTAATAGATGGATTGATTCTCAAGATGTTGAAAGAGGAGCCAGAAATGGAAACGTCTCATAAAAATTGAAAAAAAATGATATGGCCATTAACTTCTGCAGTGGTGGCTTTCCTAAAGAAAACTTAAAATTGCCATTATTATTTTTAATGGGAAGTACTGAGTGCAGTGATCTTTGAGGGTCATTTTAAAACTGTGCAAAAGCCAGTCCTACCCATCTCACTGGCAACTTGATGGCAGTTGTGCTGTGTGTAGTTAAACCTGAATTATGGGAAATTCTTTCCTTAAATGTAGAATGGCTCCGAGCCTTGCAGGGTTCTGTTGTGCTGTGTACTTCACAAACATGCAGTGCTGTGATTCATCCAAACTCAACCTTTTTTCCCCCCCTCTCCCCTTCTTTGTTTCTTTTGCATGAAGAACCACTAATCTGTCAAGCAAATTGATGGAATTCAACCTGGGTACTGATAAGCAGACTTTCTTGTCTAAGCTTATCAAATCCATTTTCATTTCCTACCTGGAGAATTACATTGAGGTGGAAATTGGTTATTTGAAAAGCAGGAGTGCAATGATTCTGCAGCGCTATTATGATTCCAAAAACCACCAGAAGAGGTCCATTGGCACTGGAGGGTAAGTTCCTTCTGGGAAGTTCCATGATTTTAAGATGGAAGGGAGGTGGTGAGGGGAGAAATGTCCTATTTGCCCTGTCAGATGTACAGTGATGAACTGCAAAAGGCCTACAACTTTTTATAATTTGCTTTCACTTTATGTTCTGCTAAAAAGTGTGTTACATGTGAAAGGTGATGCATGGTATTTATACATATGGGAAGTGAAAAATACCAGTTCAACCTATGTTTCAACTTAGGATCCAGATCCACAAAAGGACTGAAGCAAAACTAAGGTACCTAAAGCATGTATATGTGTGTATCTAAAAGCATACATTTTTTTTCACCTGCCCAGGTCTTGTGGTTCCCCTCCCAAGACCTAGGAAGGGGAAAAGACCATAGCAATGTCAGTGAGAAAGCTCTTAGTGAGCCCAGAAGATGCAATGGACTTAGAGAAAGGTAAAACAAGACTTCATTATCCTCAGGGTAGAGAAACTAAGAAAGGAGTAGTGAGAAATGGGATAGGAAGGATTTAAACTTGTGTGAAGCAGAGGTGGTGAGGCTACTGCGCCTTACAGAGAGCTCAGTGTGTCAGGAGTGAGGAGTGATGTGGAAAAAGCAGCAGCAAAGTAATTAAAAAAAAAAAATGAAAATTTAATTTTCTTGGGGAAAATTAAATTTACTGTAGTGAGTAACTTTCTGGGTTGTTTTATGCATGGAAATGTGTCGGAGCATGCTTGGCTAAATAAAGGACTGCTGAGGATGAGAGGATTTGTGGGTGTGGATGAGATGGAAAGCTCTCATTAGTGCTTTGAAAGTGCAGTGTGACAGCGTATGGAGGCTAAACTTTGTCCATGGAGCATAAGTGCCACAGGATTCCATTGAAATTACTCTTATCCCACAAAGGGGAGTAGCTGGTCCCACGTGTGAACGTGCCCTGGTAGAACACAGCTGATGATGGAATCAGAGGTGGTAGTTTTGCATTTACTGGCAATGTTTTTTAAAGCTTGCAAGACTTGTCTTAATGCTTGCATATCCTAAACTGTGTCTTGGGTCCTGGTTTGTTTTTTTTTTTAAGTTAACAACTAAAATGTCCTAAATTGTTGAGGAATTTCAGTAGCGAAATTTCCATCCAGTGAATTCTTCTTTGGGAATGTTTCTGTTCCAGTATTCAAGACCTCAAAGAGAGATTGAGGCAACGTACAAACCTACCCTTGGGGCCAAGCATTGACACACATGGGGAAACCTTCCTGTCACAAGAAGTGGTGGTTAACCTTTTGCAAGAAACCAAACAAGCTTTTGAAAGATGTCACAGGGTGAGTTTGCTTCCTGTGATCTTTGTTTTGTGTGTGAAATCCCAACTCGAGGTTAAATTTTTGATTGAGGAATAAGAATAAGGGAGGATGTTGTTAAATAAATTATCTTTTGGGTTTTTTTCCACTGCAACAGGGTCATAGTGGAGCAGAGTTTGCTCTTACATGTGTATTTAGTTGTATTTTGTGGGTTTTAATACTGTTTTAATATCTTTTTTTGAAGAAGTGAGGATGGTTAAACCTACTGCCTACATTGCTTTTCTTACTGAATTGCACCCAAGACCTGAGAAGCCTTTAATGTGGTTTTCTTTTCCTGCTTTAAAAGTACAGTGAACAGTTCAACACTTGTTTTCCTGTGTCAAGTGTCATTTCTTCTTGCCTTGGTGAATGATCACTAATGAGAAAAATAGTCTTTAACATTGTTTACCCTCTAGTGTTCTTTAAATGCTTTAGTCTAACAACAAAAAAAAAGTATTTTACTTCTGATTAAATTGCTGCTTTTACTGCCTGTCAGTCATATTTGTCTGGCACTTAGGGTAAATGAAAGCCCTTGAAATTCAATTGCAATCTTAAATGCTAGTGATTTTTTTTTATTAGCTAAACACACTGATTTCTAACAAGTTTTAATTCCTCTAACATTTCAAATGAGCTGAGGGCAGAAAAACTTAGCATTTCAGACATTTAGAAGTTTTAGTATTTTATAAACCTAGCAAGGCCAAAGATAGAACAGGATACAGACACAGCAGTGTTACCTGCACACCCTGGGATCACCTCCTTCCTAGTGGTGAAACCACTGCCTGTAAGACAAACAGGTGGATCATTAATTTTCTCAGTATCCCAGTTGCTAGAAACAGTTGTTAAATTCATGATATAAACTGATTTTTTCCACATGTGCACAACTTTTTTTTCCCCCGCTTTCCTGTTGGAATCAGATTTATTCATATTTGGTCTAAGAATAATTGTATTGGGGTGGAAACCCTCATGGATCTTGGCATATAAGGAGATTTTTAGAATTAGGGTTTCAGAACTGAGGGGTTTGTGGACAAGGCAACTCACTTTGCAGAAGAGAAGGTACACATATCCCTGGCTATTTAATTGTGATATTTATGTCACATAGCAAATGTGTGCAGATACACTGCACCAACTGTAACTGCTTCAGGAAAAATAAATTGTTAGTTCTGAATGTAACCATATATTGAAACATTTCAGTGTTTGTAAATGTCTGTTGTTGGGGGTTTTGTGGTTTTGGGGGGGAAAAACAGCAGAAATATCCGTGAGTGTTGTTGTGTAAATTAACTTGAATTGCAATAGTAATCTTTCTTACTCATAAAAGCCTTCACCTAATTCCTTAAAAACCAAAGCTGTATCTCTTATGTCCAAAAGCCCTGCCACGTTTTCCTTTAGAAAGGGGATTTACTGACAGGTTGCTGTCCCAAATCCCACGTTGCTCCCAGCTCATCAAAGTACAGGTGCTGTGTGGAAATGTGGGCATTGCCTCACCTCATAAAAGTGTTCATGCTCCATTGGCTCCAGCTGAACTGGCCCAAATGGAGCTGAGCTTCAGCTGCATTAGTTTTACTGCAGTGATAAAAGGACAGAAACTGGAGGTCTAGCTTAACCCACTGCCCTGGCTCTCACTCTGGCCTGTGGCCTTTATTCTTTCTTAAAAAAATAAAAATATAGGGAATGAAGAAAGTAATTTCTTCTGTATGCATATTCCCAGCATCCAGTGGTTTAGATAATTCTTAAGATTACATCTGAAAAAATGTGTTTTAAGGACTATTAATTAATATCTTCCTTTATTATTATTATTAGAAACTTTATAGATTTGCTTCTTGTAGCATCTGTGGCAGCTTAAGTTTACTTGTAAATGCTGAAGGGTTTATTGATACTAAAGGCTGTTCCTATAATTCTCTATATGGATACTTTTCACTTAAAATAAAATTCCAATTATTCTGGTATACTTGTTACATTTTAAGCTTATCCCCTGCGCCATATCAAATAAACTTTCAAATCTATGTAGAACTGACCTTTAGGATAATTTTTTCCTTTTTCTTTGAAGCTCTCTGATCCCTCTGACTTACCCAAGAATGCTTTCAGAATTTTTTCTATGCTTGTAGAGTTCTTATGCACTGAACACATCGATTATGCATTAGAAACAGGCCTTGCTGGTGAGTACAGAGTTCTCTGAGCATTTCATCTCCTTGGCCTTTTTGTGCAGAGGATCTTTGCAGGTCCTTGCTGTGCCTTATTGATTGGCCTTGTTCACAGTGTGTTGGTTAAATGAAATTTTATGTGTTTTGGAGTCAACATTTAATGTCTTCTAAAGTGTAACTTTCATTTGGGGAATTGGTGCTCAGATGGGAACAGGCTTCTGTCTTCAAAAACATTTTTATCACAGGAATTGGGACATCAGCACTCTCTGCCTCTTTTAATTGTTCTCTGTGCCATAACAAGAGAATATTTTTATATTAAGGCTTAGTGTCTTAATTTTCATAAGAATTCTGTGCTTGTTTGTATGTTTGTGCTTTTTAGAGTGGCAGTAAATAAGAAAACTGCTTTTTTAAAGAAATTAAAATCTTGACAGTGAGAACCTGTCATTTTTACATGACAAAATTAAACTCCCATTCTGAAGGAGGTTTTAAATTGACTGTCCTGTTGTGCTTTTAGAAATTTTACCAGTGAGATATTTCTCTGTGCCTGTTACCCAATATAGCTGTGAGAAGTACCCTATATATGGCACCACTGTAAAGTTTTGAAACTCTTAAGCCTGTGATTTAAGCATTCATGGAAAAATTCTGCATATTTAAAAAGTCATCATGCTAATTATAAGAACTGCATATCTGTACAATCCTAATGAAACCTCCTTTGCTTTAGGCATTCCCTCTTCTGATTCAAAGAATGCAAATCTGTATTTCTTGGATGTTGTCCACCAGGCCAATACGATTTTCCATTTATTTGACAAGCAGTTCAATGATCATCTGATGCCATTAATCAGGTACCTTTATTTTGATTAATATTTCCAATGTGAGTGGTGTTTTTTTGGTGAAGAAAGCAATTTTTTCATTCCTCATCTCTGTTAAGAGGAGTTTATGCTCAGAGTAGATCAACTTGATATTGTGGAAGATAAAATGCCCATAATGGGAGGGGGAAGAAGGGAAATTAAATTGGTTCCTTTGAAAACTAATGAAGGAGAGTGAGCTCCAAGAGCATTGATAGGTAGGAGAAGCAATTTTTCCTTGGAGACTGCTGCATTCCAGGTAGGACTGAAGGGGCTTTGTGGCTGTGCCTTGGGGTCCTTTCTGATGGGATGGGAAATTTTCACTGAATCCTGTTGTAAGCAGCAAACCCAGCAGAGAAATTTGTCCTGATATTTTAACACTGTCACACTGTTGCAGTTCCTCTCCTAAATTATCTGAATGCCTTCAGAAGAAAAAGGATATCATAGAACAAATGGAAGTGAAGCTGGATATGGGCATTGATAGGCAAGTAGAGATTTAAACTTCCTCTTAGTTCTTAATTTGTATAAAACTCCTTTGTGATGCATGTTAACTGTCCTTTTCAGCATGAATTATTCCTGAACGCAAAATTGATATTTTAATATTTTTTTAAAATGATAAACATGCATTATTGTGCATAGGAAATTCAGATTTTATATGGTTAGAGGGTCATCTTTTCTGTGGCACATTTCTGACCCATAAATACTTCTGGAAGGATGTTAAAAGATGGTTATGCTGAAAGAGTGCAATAGTTCAGTTTTACCTTATTGTCTCAAACTCTCTTTTTCTACTTTAAAAGAGGGAGAAATGATGATTGAAATAGGTTAAACACTTACAGGATTTCCATTAGGAGCAAAGTTTGACAAAAATAGGTTAGATGATTTGCTGGAATCTGTGCAGTGCTATGGATTAGACCCAGTCATAGAAGTCTGTAGACCTGGAATCATTTTGATTCTGACATTGACTTGCTTTGAGGTTGTGACTCATTTAATCTTTTTTCTATTTCTCAGAATATAAATGAGGGGATAGCTATAAAAATTGTAAATTAAAATCACAGCTGTTTTGCAGCAGAGGCAAATAATAAACTAACAAGCTTAATGTTAGGAAATGGAGCTGTTGTGTGATGCCCTACTTTTGGTTTGGTGTTTTATTTTCTGGAAGTGCAGAAAGAAAGGTGGAAATAGGGGATGTGTAAGTGGCAATTGAGATTTTTAGCTGCTCCTGCTGCAAATGACCTTAGAGATTTAAACACAAAGTTTGAAATATTTCAAGCACTGAGGCCATGAGCTTAGATCTAGACAGATACAGGTTGGTCATCAGCATTAAAACAGTTTGTGTATAAAATAATTAATCTTTTAAAAGCGATAGCAAGACTTGTGAGAACAAGTTGGAAAACAGTATGTTCAGAGGTTTGTGGATGGAGAATTCAAAAAAATTAGTGTTTCAGCCATACAAAAGAGATTAATTTTGAGATGAACATTACATGTGAGATGTGTCTGTGTGCCTCTTTCATGCTGCTTTGTGGTGCCACTGGTGGTGTTGAGAATGGATTGTCTTGCTTAAAGGAATTGAGTTTAAAATATAAAGCAATTTTTCTAAACATTGGTGCTTTTTCAGCATTATCCAATATGGAAAAGTCCAAGTGCAGCTTCTTGAGTGCCATTCACAGCAATTGAATCTACCTCTAAAAGTGATTTATTAGCCAAACAAAATTAGTTCAGCCCGTTTTCTTTCAGCATGTGTTTTGTGTAAACAGCCTTCTGGGAGTATTTATTGCAAATGGAAATTGAGGAGAATGAAAGATATAATTTCCTTAAATTTCTGTGTGGATTGTTGGGTGAAGTGCACCTGAAATGCAAGTCTGAGCTCTGTGCATAGGAAAAAAAGGAGTTTGTTCCCTCTTTGGATACATATATTTGTGTCCCCTCCACCCCACTCCGGCTTGAATCCTTCAATGCCTGTGATGGCCTTGACTGTTTTCTTCAGGGAAGTTGGAAGGGTGAGGGAGATGAAGGAAAGGGAAGAGGGGGGGAAAAACCAGAGGGATGTTCCTGGCCAAGGTAGGCAGTGGGAGAGGTTTGCAGCCTCTCTCAGCTGCTTTGCTGTTTGACCTTTGCTTTGGACTTAAAGGAAACCAGGGCCTTGACCTTAGATAATGTTCTGAACAGATAAATCCTATAAGGGAGAAATAAATGACACTGTAAAACTCCATTAGATTTGTGAGAACAAGAGAAATACCAAGCTCTGGCAAAGGAAGAGGTTTTTCCTTCCCCCTCACCCCTCCTTCACTTTCCAAGTGTGTTCTGATGCTTCTGACTAATATGCAATGTGATCTAATTCTCCTAAACCCTTTGGAATGCTTCCTTCAGCTTTCTGATTCCCTCTGCATTGAAGGATCCTCTCCAATTTCTCTGAAGAGCTGGATTTGAATGGATTACCTTCCAATTAATGTGTCCCCTTTAAAAGCAGCTGACCAGTGTGCTGTGTGCTGTGCTCCAAGACAATGAACTTGGAGGGAAGAGTTTTTAGGGATTTTTGGGCTGATGCTTCTTTTGCCAGCTGCTCATTAAAAACCAAGCATATCTTCTCTATAGAATTACATTGCAACTCTAGAAAAGAGTGTGTATTTGTGCATGTTTGTTAAATGAAATATTTCCTTTGACACACTAAAAGCATTTATTGTATCTTCTGTAAATTACTCAAGTATTGGGTGCTGGGCTTTTTCCTCATTGCTTTATGCTGCTGACTTTTGGACAGAGTCGTGTTAGTTTGTGTAAATATAAAAATCCATGAAATGAAAATGTTCCCTTCCAAACCCAACCCGTGTTTGTAACTTTAAAGGACACTGAATTGCATGATTGGACAGATGAAGCACATCTTGGCTGCAGAGCAGAAGAAGACAGATTTTAAACCAGAAGATGAAAACAATGTTTTGATTCAATATACTAATGTAAGTAACTGAAGTCTCAGCTTAGGAGTGTCATCAGGTAGAGGATGTTCCCTGCCAAACATGCTTCAGACAGCATGTGCACGTGCTAAATTTACTTCCATTCTGCACCAAGCACCTCCAAACTCTCTCATGGGCTATTTTCTCAAGCTGAAAATGAACATGAGCAGTTTTGTCTCCAGTGTCAGACACAAATCAGTAGGTGCTGGAGGAACTGGCACATTCTTTCCCATCCCAAGAGGCCCAGATTTGGAACAAGGCTTTTAGCTGATAATTAGCTTTGAGCTATCAGTTTCAGAAAATCAATTATCAGGTACTCCCTGTTTCCTGGGTGGTTTTTCCCCTCAGAGTGGCAGGAACACGACAAAGCATCACAGGTACTGCATGAACATTCTTTGCTGCACAATGCTGTCTGGACCACCAAATCTGTCTGAATCCCAACCTGGGGGTTTCTGAGGAGCTGTAGGGCTGCCTCACATCGGGCTCTTGTTAGGGAACAATGCAGGGAGGAGTAGAGAACAAACTCACTGGGAAGAAGTGAGAGCATTCCCAGATGGGAATGGGAGAAGTGGAACAGTAGGATGTAGAGCCTTTTACTATGTGGGAATGGTGAAGATGCCTGTATGGTTGTTAATTTGAATTTATAACTACAGCTGACAAAGTTTTTAGTCACTTCCCCCTCCCCACCTACCCCTTGGTTGATCATTGTTTGAATTAAAAGTCAAAATGAAACTGTTCTATTCTGAACTTCTCTGAACTATAACTTAATTGAATATTGTCTTGCATCCATCTCCCTACTCACATTTTTGCATCTTTACGTGGCAAATAAAAAACCGTTAGAAAATTGTTAATTAGAGAATGACTAATTTCAGTGCTGTGCTGTGAGAGTTTAAAGGTTAGTGGCTGATGTTTGGCTTATGATATGGAAACCACTTTGAGAAGAACAGATTCCTAGAAAGTAAGTTACCTAATCATTCTTATTTTGTTTTGAATTTAGGCTTGTGTTAAGGTCTGTGGCTATGTTAGAAAGCAGGTGGAAAAGATCAGAAATTCCATGGATGGCAAGAATGTGGACACAGTTTTGATGGAGCTTGGAGTTCGTTTCCATCGGCTCATCTACGAACACCTCCAGCAATACTCCTACAGCTGCATGGGGGGCATGTTGGCTATTTGTGATGTGGCTGAGTACAGGAAGTGTGCCAAAGACTTCAAGGTAAGACACGAGGAGAGGATGATGGATGTGAATCCTCTGTCAGGAGGGAGTGTTTTGAAGATCTAGGTGGACAATCTGTTACAAGACTTCAAGCAACTCTAATAATTTATATCTGTTTTTTCTTTCTTTTCTCTTGCCCGCAGATTGCTCTGGTGTTACAGCTCTTTGATACCTTGCATGCACTTTGCAATCTTCTGGTTGTAGCCCCTGATAACTTAAAGCAAGTTTGCTCAGGAGAACAACTTGCTAATCTGGACAAGAACATCCTTCACTCCTTCGTTCAGCTGCGTGTCGATTATAGGTCTGCTCGTCTCGCCCGTCACTTCAGCTGAGAGCACAGCAGGAGAACCTGCACCTTTGGGCAGGCCTCAGTTGTCAGAAAGCACAGGGAATGATTCCTTACCAACCGTGGGCGTAACTTTTGTGGGACAGTGACTGTTCAGAATAAAGCAGCAGCCATATCTAAACATGACAGTGTGGGAGGTGAGCAGGTAAAACTCGGGGTGGTGTTTCACGTGAGCTAAAGTTCTCCCAGTGAAGAATTTCACAAATCTACTTGCTACTGATTTCTTTTTTTTTTTTTTTTTTTTTGGTTTGTTTTGCTTTTTAATTGGAAACATGTTGGTGTAGGAAAGCAAGTGGTGCATTGGAAGTATTTTAGTCTTCAATATTGAATTATGAGATACCGTTTGTTAGATTTGAAGTACAGAGCATAGCGTAGGTAATGGATTACATAGACTAGACCAGTGTAAAAACATCCTTCATCAATTTTAATGACTTAGGCTTCAGCACAGCTAATCATAATCAAATTATCTTTGATTGGTGTTTCTAAGTCATTTCTTTCATTTAAAACCTTATCCTGCTCAATGTAATTTCTTGCTCTAATTAATTAGCTTGGAATTTCTTTCAGATGGAGGAGCAAAAGCAACACTATCCCAGAAAGATGTAATTTATTCATTGTGTAGCATTCTAAACAGAACTAAAGTGGTGAAAAGTTTTGGATTTTTTTTTTTTTTTAGCTCTTTGACTCTTTTTTTTTTTTTTTTTAATACCTATAGTCAAAAGCCCACTGGAATGTACTGGCATTGTATGATCTGACATTATTGTTTCTGTTTGATACCAGAACACTGAATTTTGTACATGCTCCTGAAGTAAATGCGACTGCCTTGCCTAAGGCATCCTTACTGCAAGGTGAAGGTGCCCATTGTTGGGTTAATATACAAGAACTTTCTCCTGTCTTACTTTTTATGTAAATAAATTCAAATTCTAATGAAGTGAAAGGATAAAATGTAGCCCAGTTTTTCCCATGTGGCTCCGGCCAAAACCTCGGGTGGAAAATTCCTGTGCTGAAGGTAATTGATCCTCAGTGCCTGAGCAATATAAAATGTTGAAGTGTGCAAAAGCTGCTCTTCCACTGCTCATAATTTTCATACTGGGCACAGACTACTCTGTGTCCCTTGTGCTCCAGTGTTTATTCAAGGTGTTTCTGACATGGACCCACAGTGAATTGAAGGAACAGTGATGTTTGAAACATCCGGGGTGGCTTTTCCACAAGCAGTTGAAAATTGATGTAAATAAACCTTTTCTCAGCGCAGACTCTTGTGGAAACGAGGCTGGAAGTGCAGTGGTTTGTGTCTTCAATCTGACCTACACCATCCCTGAGCAAATCCTTTCTAACACATTGTTTGTACTGTTATGGAAACTTTTCTCTCTCCCACCTTCAGAGCAGCATTTCTATCAATTCTGTCAGATAATTCTGTTTTCCTCTTTCCTTAATGAATTCCCAGGTGTAGTCAACATTGACAAGACTTGTGTGGGACTTCTCTTGGTTAGTTGAGGTTCTCCTGCTTCGTTTTGTATTTAGCAGAGCATTGTATCAGTAAACAAGAGGATGGATGCCAGAGTGTCTCCAAGTATTCCAGGGGACTGGCTGCTTTGCTGAGCTGCACTGCTCTATTCCTTGGCCATGGCAGAGCCACAAAGAGTTTTGGACACTGGAGGAGGCACATGCTTGTACTGCTGCCATTTTTTTTCAAAAGCTCTGATGTGAGTTCAGATGATACCTCTCTGTTACCTCTGTAACCGAAAGCCAACAATTTTAAGGCTGTGGTTTTATTAACCAATACAAAATCTTTCTACAAAAAAAAAAGAAAAAAAAGTGTCAATTTGTAAACACCTCAGAACAGTGAACGTCATCTTGAGATTGCAGATCACAGAAGTGCTTCAGAATTTGTTGTATGATTGTTTGAATTTTTTTAAGGTTGTATGAAATGTATTTACCATATTCCTCGCTTTCTTAGCTGTGTTTTCCATGCATATGCTCAGTGCAATATTTCCATTATGCCTGTTAACAGGAGGCAGCAAAAAGTAGGTGAATACTTAAACTTAGATATGTAAACTCTTCCTCAATAAAAAAAAAAATTCCTTCCAGACACTTTTTTTCATTTCATTTCCATGTTCTTCAAAGATATTTATACTCAATTGTATAAGCCCTTCTATTTAAAAAAAAAAAAAAAAAAGAATAAAAGTAATTTTACTGACCAAATTTATCACTGGTGTGAGCTTTCCCCTTCCTTTTAAAAACCTCCCCCAGCACATACTGAAAGTTTTTATTTCTGGAGAAGGCTGCATTGTCAGTAAGTTTATTTTATAATACAGGTTGGATTGGGATGGGGCGGGGAACTATAATTTTCACACATTTTTAAGTTTAGAGCTCTTATAGCAGGTAATTTAGAAAAATATTTCCAGTGGCTTCTGAATGCAATCAAATAGTATCTTAAAATACAAATATGCCTTTTAATGTTCATATAATGAGTTAAAGTACTGCCTGTCTAATGTTCCCTCCTACAATGTGGGCATTTATTTATCAGGCTGGCAGCCAAACAACTGCCTGAGAGGGGGAGAGTGTGTGTGTGTGTAATTATGTTGTCTACAATTGGGGAAAATGGCTTTGCAGCAAACTGTTGTAGGCTGGAAAATAAGCTGTGGTTTTTTTTTTTTACAAGTCCTATAATTTATTAAGATCATTTGGGTTTGTGTTCTGTTTGCATGTGCACAGAGGGCAGGGAGGAGTTGGTGTTCTGTAAGAATACTTCACAAATAATGCAAAAAAAATGGGAAATGGAAGTGCTTGGAAATATGGAAATAGAGGGTAAGGAGTGAAGAAGACATGAACTAAAAGGGTGTGGAGAAGGAGCAGTTTGAAATGAAGAAGCACATGAAGGAGGAGGTTAAAACGGGATTAATGGAAACCTGACACACACACCAACCTGGGAGAATAAGCAGGACTGGCATTAAATCTCCCACCCTGAAATGAAGTGAGCCTCTAGAGGAAGGGGACTGGCTCAAATACTTTGCTGTGCAGCTGTTCATTCATCTGGAGACTTGGATTCACCAGGAAGAGGCTCCAACCCAGCTGTGGGTCTGCTCTGCAGGACAGGTGGTGATGCTGAACCTGAGCTCTGTGAGGAGCAGAGATGCCTCAGCACTGTGCAGCCTGATGGGAGGGAGGGAGAACTTGCCAGAGCTGAGCTTATTTTTTTAACTTGGAGACTGCAGTGATCTGGAGGATGGATGGTAAGTGACTGCTGGATTTGAGGATGGGGAGTGGGTGGGGTTAGCTCGTGATCACTAAGAAAACTTTGGGTTTGGTTTTATTTTCCTCTTCACAAAGTCATTTTAAATCGTCGGTGGTGTAATTGAGTGTCCTCTGAAGTGATTGCTCCATTTCTGCAGGAAATTTTGTGTCTTACAAAGTGACCTGAAGAGTGTGAGGCCCGTTGGGTCCCTTCATGGATTGGGTACACCTCGGCCTGTCCTTCAGAAACCCACAGTTCCAGGTTTTTTAATCCACTATGTGCATGGCACTAAACCTAATGTACTCAGTTTTAGATGCCATGAAAAATTCCAAAACACTGGAGTACTCTTTGGATTAAGTTCTCATGGCAATAACTACCTTAGTTCATGTTAGCACTTGAGTTGAACCACTCTTGGAATCCAGTCTGAGGTGATGATTTTTTTCTATTCAAAGGAAAACATTATCTAAATAATCACTTATCTAATTTTAAGTGCAGGTAGCAGCTCTTCTCCTTTACCCTTCCTGTCCCAGGAGCAGCAGGGTGGATAAGCCAGCCATCAACACTCTTCCAGAGGACAACAGAAAGGTAGGAGCACCTTCCCTCTCCTGATGTTCTGCTGGAAATTGGCTTCTAGGCATTATTTCTACCACCACCTCCTCTGTGGCAGCTGTAAATGGAGACAGACTTTTGTTTTGCTGTCTGCATTGGAGTATTTTCTCTCTGGACATCAAGGCTGGCATGTTGTTGATTTTTTTTTTTTCCCTTGGTGTTTCTACACCTGTTTCAGGGAGGGGAGGGAGCCAGACCTTCTGCCAGTTATGTTCACTGCTTTGCTTGTGTTTTTTCCCCTCCATTCTGATTTCTTTTGGTGGTAGTAGGTTTATTTCTATACCACCTCTTCTGCTTATCTTAGAGTGGGGAAGCAGCTGTGTTTGCCTCTCTTCTTTTCTCTTGTGTGGGGCACTGCTTACTCTGTGTCAATACAGCCCTCAGTGTGTGTGGAAACCTTGGTTTCTACTTTTATTCTATTAGCTTTATGTCCCTGTGCCCTGTTTTCCTTTCAGATCTCAGGACTGCACTATCCCTTCCCCTCTGTTACCACACTGCCAAAGAGAAAAAAAATCTTTTAACTTTGCAGTGTGGCTTCTGGAAGACCTTTACATGTTACATAGTGGTTCTTCATCCACATGTAGCCCAGTAGGAGGAGTTTGGCTTCATTCCTCTGTGTTTTTCTGCCTTCCCCATATTCTCTCATCTCTGCAGGGCTCTGTTACCATATTCTCTCCCCTGACCTGGCTGTGCATTATGAAACTTCATGTAAGGGGCCAGCCATGGGGCAAAAAGTGTTGGATATCTCAGCTGATGTCTGTGAGTTAATGTGCCAGGAAAGCAAGATGAAATGCAAAGTTGAGCCAAAGTTGAGTATCTTTGAGAACAACTTAATAAACCAAAATGAATTGTTTGGATACTTGAGGGTCAAGATATCTTGAAATTTTATTTGTAGTTTATTTGTTTGTAACTGCAGTCCATCCTGATATGGGATGACACTAAATCTGAGGCTCCCTTGCAGCAGTCCCAAATCCTGCTCATCCGCACTGCTGCTTCCCCTCTGTGAAGTGAGAGGACCTTGGAGCTGAGGCTGGAATGCTGGCTGAGCCACAGACTGTGGCAGTTCCCACCCTTGCCATGCCAAAGCCTGTCCTGGTCCCAGCTGAGCAGCTTATCCCTGCTTTGAGGGGTCAGCACCCATGTCCTCTGCCTGCCTCTGCCCTCCCCTGGTTGTGTGGCCTCAGTGTGGAGTAATGTGAGGCTTTTGTGTCACCTCTGTGCTACAGAAGAGATCTTTGCTTGTCCTGTGGCCTGTATGGGAGTTTGGGTCCAAGAGATACAGGGTCCAGTACCTCTGAGCTCATGGAATCAGAGAACAAGTGTTATCAAGTCCAACTCCCTGTTCCTTGCAGGACTACCTAAAACTAAATCATATGACTAAGAGCATTATCCAGATGCTGCTTGAACTCTGGCAGGTCTGGTGCCCTGACCACTTCCCTGGGGAGCCTGTTCCAATGACCAACCGCCCCTTCAGTGAACAACCTTTTCCTGATGTCCAGTGTCCTTGGGGGGGGTCAGAATTGTTCCACCCCAGTAGTGTAATTTTAGAGCATGTGTGACCATCTCAAGAGAGCCACAGCTGCCAGCGCTGGCCTGCTCAGCTGATCTTCCAATATACAACATTCTTTGAAAGTCGACATTTTAAAATTTTTCTTCTTGAAGTGTTAAACCTTCTCTCTTGTCTCTCACTGAAATCCAAAACTGTCTGTGAGGCTGCTGGAGCCAGAGTGGGAAGAAAGAAATGCTGTTTGGGAAATAGGCATCACAGCAGCAGTGGCTGTTGCAAAAAAAAGCTTCCTCACGCTGTGTTTTGTTGTTCCTAAACCTGGATTTAGGAAGGATAGAGGGGAGAATGGACTAAGAGGTGTTGGTCTTTTTAATTTGTCCCCTTTGGTGGTGGGGCTCTGCAAGTTTTGGGGCTGTTTCTTCTCCCCAGAGGGGGCTGTTTGCCCCACAGCCTTCCCTTGACATTTATTCACCTTAACCCCACCTCTTCTGTTCCCAGGGCTGCCCTTGTCCTTGTCATCCCTATCCCAACCTCACTTCTAGTCAAGAGCACAGAGGAGCCCTGGTAGGTCTTGGATGTCCATCTGCTTTTCTGTGTTGATCATCAGTCTGGTGGGGACAGGAGCTGTTGTTGTTCTACCATGTGTCCAACCTCATCAAGGCTCCTTCTTTGCCTGGAAAGAAAGGAACTGTGGAGAGATGTCCCAGAACCAATTCCTAGGTAAACAAGCTCCATGGTGTCAGGATAAACAGCTCCTGCTGGAAGACACAGTTAAGGTTCACCTGGGTTGATGTTGCCAGTTGAAGATGGTCATTGTGAGCTCTCCACTGCTTTGACTGTGGCATTTGGGTGTTGTAGAGAAGCCAGAGAACACCAGCTTGCATTTGAAACATTTTTGTAACACCCATTTTGCTGTAAACAATTCATTAAAATTACTTTCTAAGTCTTAGGCAAGTGGATTTTTGAAGGTTGCTCATTTTACTTATCCACCCAAAGTCAATTTGAGTATGAATATATAACATTTTACTCATAATAGCAAACAACTTCAGAGAAGAGACATTTATTCTGGAGGCAGAGACTCAAACTAGACAGCAATGATGCATTACAAATATATAATTATTTGCACTAATATTTGAGCAGGTGGAATGGATTAGTACATGGTCAACATTGCACTGCTGATAACATGTATTTTTCTATATTAATATGTACTGTGCAACATGTATTAAAATTGTCAATAATTCATTTTAACAGAGATAGCAATATTTATATTGCTGTGTTCTACAGACAGCAGAGTGAATTGGTAAAATGTGTAAAGCTGAGCTAGATTTAACTTAACTTTGTTTCCCAGCGTGTGTATTTTTAATTTCTTATTAAGAAAAAAAAAATTAACCTTTCAACCCAGAAAGATTCTTGTTCTTCTGTGGAATTTCTGATCCAACTCCATTCCTGCTCTCCCTGGCTTGTTAGGAATTAGCTTGAAATGAGACCTCCAAGACCCAACCCAGCCTCTGGTAATAATACTGGGATACAACCTCAGTTTAGATGCTTAATAGGTGGATTCTTTCTGTGCATGTTCCTGAATTAACTGGAGACTGCATTTTAATATTTTTTTTATTTTATTTTTAGGACCTGTTTTGTCTTCTGCTATGTTGCTTGTTGTTTTCCCTTCTTAATGCATTTTTGGAAGCCTCTGGGGGTAAAATTAATCAGTTTAACCAGTGAATGTATCTTTTTATAAAGAGGGATCAAGGCTGCACTCTGGGCCTTATCACTGGAAAATCCAGGGATATACAGAAAGTGCAACAGAGGGTGATCCACTAAGTTTTAGAGGGATATCTTAAACTGAC